ATCTGATATACTTTTTTATTGCTGTCATCATCCTAAGCCACATCATAGCAATAATTTATTCTTAAGACCTCATTAAATCCTCACATTTTTATCTCACTTTATCGTAAGTACTATTACGTTCTACAAAATAAGTTAAAAAATTTCTTTTCTCCAATTTTTAAATTATTCACAAATAAATGAATCTTCGTCACCTTGATTTATCATAATTAGCTCTTGAGGCTTAAAGAGATAATAATAGAGATAAAAGGCAACATTTTTTTGCATGCTATACTACAACCATTTTGAATAATTTTCAAAACAATTCAAATTAAACCTCCGTAGAATACTACCAATCATTTTTTTATTAAAAATTATAATTTTTTACTTGACAGAGTCCCTCATTAACTATGCTTTCCGTAATATATATCTATCATTACATCGCAGCTCCAAATCAAAAGTTGAAGTCCAAGTTTAGCTAGAAGATCATCCATGTCAATCTTTACCAGTTCTTTCCAATTCAAAAAGTTCTTTCCTCTTCAAATACCAATCCATTTCCTAAATGTTAAACTCTTATGGCAATGTCATTCGCCGCCATAAACCACAAATTCATATCAATCAAACTCATTTTACTAATCCATTATTAAGATTACGCTTAAAGCAATAATAACCAATTCGAACATACCATAAACAAGAAAAAAAATCTTAATCACATGTCCATAAATAATTAAAGGAACATACTAAAAGATGATATGAACTAAGAACGGAGAAAATTGCAATGCTACCATCACATAATAAAAACATATGGCGAGTTAACATTAGAAAATAAAAGAAATTGAACAAACCATATATGAAAGCTCCTCTGGCTAGCTCCTATGGTTATTTCTCGCATATCTGCTATCAAAGATTTTAGGTTGGGATAGTAGCAAGAGCAAGAACCTCAAGAGCGACGGGCTTGGAGAGGTGCCCAAGGGACTAGAATTCTTCATTCAGCTGGTAATTGGTACTTGATGAAGGTGCTCAGAGAGGGGCAAAGGCTGCCATGTAATTGTGTGTGAGGTGAAATCTTGACATGGGATTCAGCGTGAAGAAGATAATAGGAAAGAGAAACATGGAGACCATTTGTGCCCATGTCAGTGCGGGTGTTAGGACAAGAAATGGATCGATGGGCAATACTACAAAAGAAAGTGTATGATGCATCAGAATGAGAAATGATTTGGGCCTAATGGTAACCTCAGAGATGAAATAGAAGAGACAATTTTTCTTATAGTTTTGGGGAAGTGCGTCAAATAAAAGGGGAAAATTACTAAAAAATTAAGATAATTACGCCCTAGCCAGAAAATCAAGCCGTAACTTACAAAGACAAGATTCTAACATCTCTCTCTAATGATAACCATGTTAACAACAAATCTTTGGCAAAGTGCACTTTGCTATCAAATGTCCTTAATTCTCAAAGCAGCCTATGTAAAGCTCAAATCTCCACAAAATTAAAAAAAAAATCTATAAAATTATGAGCTTAAAAAATAAATAAATAAAATATAATACTTCAAACAAAAAAAGTAACCATCTATCCACAGCCCGAGCACCAGCTTGTAAAAGGTGAAAATTTTAAGATGGTCTAAGCTCACAAAGAGCCAATATCCTATCAAACATATCTCTGAGATTATTTTGAAAGATCACATACTGGTAAGGACATAATAAGTTTCCTCTAACCAGTGATTTATTCAAATGACATCATTAAATTACATCATGACCAAGGCCCTATAACCTGATAATTTGCTGTAAAATAGTACAATTAAGTTTGGCGATGAACAAAAGTTCCCAATGGCTTAGCCTATGAGTTCATTGAATTGTAAATCATAAGGTGCACATCATAGAGTATAAAGCTCTTTGTTAATTAGAGTTGATCTAAAATTAGCCCATTAGGCTAACAACCAAAACAGATCAACAAGATTCACTTAAATAAGCGCCATATGATTTTTGACAAAGATCATTCACTTATGTTGGGTCAACTAAATTTCCTATCTAAGTACATCAAAATGCACAAAAATCTAGGACAACAAAATTAAATGAATTTGATCTAGCTCCTCACCATTAGCTCTCAATTGAGAGTGTTATATTTTCTGGTACCCCAAGTCAAATCACAGTTCTTATAAACGAAATATTTAGTTTATGAATGCCATTAATTGAAAGCTATCTCCCCTAACATAAAAAAATAATTAATCATATAAATGTTTGAGCATATGAGAAAACTCAAACTATATCAAAAAATCCTAAAAAAGTAAAAAATAAAATCTTTAGACAATAACATACATAATATCTAATAAGTCTTCTAAAAACTTGATTTGGAATCATGCTCTAGTAAAGAGCCAAACAAGAATTTTCAGGTCCCACTGTCGCATATCATTTAGTACTTGAATGTTCAACGCCAAATAAAATGCTCACTCGAGTAAGAATGAAATTAAAATTTTGGATAAGAAAACAAAATGAGAAACTATATCAAAGAAAAACTCAGAAGACCATTGATCCTTGATTCTACCTCCCACATAAAATTATTCATCAATGTGAACATAAATTTCTAATAGTAGGACTTATTTGGATAAATTTCAATAATTAAGAAACCAATTTGTGCACATTAAATATTTGGAGACTAAATTGGACAAGCTTTGGGCAATGTCACATAAAATCGAATATGAATCTTCGAAAAATATCATTAGAGCCTTTTATTGTTCAGGAATGAACACGGTAATCACTAGAATAAAAAAATGAAATTAGGAACTCCGATAGGAAAAAAAAATGAGACAATATTGAAAAAAATTTCAAAAGAATCATATATTTTTAGATGCTAACTTCCACAAAACTTTCATCGCCTCCCTCCAAAATGACATAATCATTTCGATTAGAATGTTATTAAAAAATATAAATGTGATAAAAAAATTACTCAAATTACCAAAATTGTCAAAGCAATCCGCATTGAAACTTTCACAAGTGACTCAAACTTGAAACCAAAACTAAATTTAAAAACCTAACCCAAACACTTAAGCAGACTTATACAAGATAAAAACTAACATATTATGGTCTAACAAGTCTATTATCACTCTCAGGAAAAAAAAATGCTTAAGATTTGACCATCACAATGGAATGAAACATAAGCACACTCAAATATAAACAAATTACAGCCGCTAGATACGTGAAGTAATCGATTAATAACACAATAGTCATCCATGCTCATTGCCCAAAGAATCAGAACTCTAGAAATACTTGTCTAAGTGCATATGGCTAACGCGGGACCTCCCGTGATCACATGCCCCACGATCATAGGAATGGATTGGGATGGGCTCCGTCCCGTGATTTTCCCGCACTGTGAGATTTTTCCCACCTATCAATCTGTTGTTAGGGCGTGGGCACATATTTATTATTAGTCTGCTGAAATTAGAGTTATTTTTGTTTGAGAACTATTTATATGTTATTATTTTCTGGTATGGGCACTTTTATTATGTTTTTGTGTATTTGGATATCGTATTATATGATTTAAGCACTAAAAATTATTGTATCATCTTCCTTTTTATAGTAGTGTTTTTGTTCCTTGTTTAAAAAAAGTTGTGTATCTCCCTCGCAATCATGCCTCGTAGGAGCATCATTTCGCGGTTCTCCCCGCTATTTTCAGTTCGAACAACAGCCAAACGTTTTATATTCTCTTTCAAACACCGTTGACCTTGCATATCCTCATCTCCTTGCTACTCCACAACATCTCCCAGTTAGATTCACTTCCTAAGAACCTAGGAATCCTAGAGTATTATTATTTGATATAGTCCAACAAACCCAAATTTTTAGGGATTTATTTTTCTTACTCCTCAACTTAAAACCCACATAACCTAAACATTTCACTAACTTAATATCTTAATCATCCCTACCTCAATTCTTAGCAATAAATTAAAGCTTCAAAAGCCAAGATAATAAATCCACCAAAAAAAATAAAAGAAAATTATTCTCATATCATCCACTTAACCCGATACCAACCCCTTATTGTCAATCAAATCGTAAGTGGGAGAAAAAGAATACCATGTCACCGAGAAGAAACATGCAAAGAGGTGCCCAGTAGACTACAATGGAAGACATGTACAAGGAAATCCTCTAATTGCAACAAAGGCTTGTCGCCTTTAAGAAAAAATGACAGGGGGAGGCCATCTATAGCCAAAATGGTGACTCACCAGATCAAAAAGATGAAGTGAATCCCTTCAACCAACAAACTTTCAGTGATGAAGAATAAATACTCTAATGATTTACCATTCAATATCATAAGAGGGACAAGAATTTTGGAGTGAAGATTGAATTGTTGGGTTTTTGTGAATATTTGGATCATGATGAATTCATTGAGTGGCTCCAAACACATATTTGATGAATCTCAAGTTATAATCTTTTGATAACTGAATTCATCATCAAGGAATAAATCAGGTTCTTTTGCCCAATTCATTGTTAAGTATATATTTGTTGAAAGCCCCTCAAATTATGACTGGTGATAATTATGTTCATCACAGAGAAGACGACATCAACGTCTTCACAATCTTAGAAGAAATGAACAAGCAAGCAATGATGCTAAAGAAGAATTACTAATAGGAAACCAATGGGAGGACACGTGAATCACTAATTCTACCACTTAAAGTAGCAACAATATGCATACACGAGAACCCTCGAAATGAACTTCAAGGGATTACATATTCCCAAAAATATACCTAAATTGGGACCTTAAAAAAGCAATAAAAATAGGCAATCCTTGAGGCTTCATCTCTCAAGCCATAGTCTGAGAAGATTCATTTAACAAATTATTTCAATCATAAGGTAAGTGTCTCATCCTCATAAATTCAGCATATCAGATGTACCTACTCTCCACAAAATCATCGTGGTTGCATGAACATTCAAATGTCTCCATACAAAGAATAATATTCAGTAACACTTATAGAAGATACATCAATACAAGCCATGTGAACATATAAACGCTTTAAAACTACATTTTTCCCACTTACATTTATGAGGAATATCTCTGTATCCTGCCGTCGTAAGGGTTTCGATAGAATCTTCTTGCCTCACCGCTTCAATTGTTGGAGATTTGTTAGAGAGAGGCATCTACCTTCTCACCGCACACCACCTAAAGCAAGCAAATTGACTGCCATGGGATCTAGATCTCTGTGTCGCCAAGCAAATGTCAGCAAAATAAGTTGAATGGAGTCAGAAGCAACCTGTCCCTGCCGAATGCCACGAGAAGTCTAGAACCAACAAGAATCCGCCTCTCAAATACAAAAAACCTCTAACAATTGTACTACTATGGTAGGTGTACAATCTTTTCAGAAATATAATCCTTCAAGTGGTAAAATTGTGTGGCTACTACTTAGCAAATTTCACACCCTGTAGGACAGTTTCAAAAAAATGACATCACAAAATAGTACAAGTGCCAAGGAACCTTCGTCCAAAAGAGGGAGGGGATGATACCGAGGCAACATACAAGAACGTCCATGCATCCAAGTGTCTTGCACTCATAAACCATCCCACACATACCAAACAGTGCCTCTCCTCGCCTTCCCCTAGTTCACAGTGGGCATCTCAGGAGAAGAACCAGTCTCCATGAGCATAGATCTTGACACTAACAAAGTTTATGCAAATTTAAAACCAACAAGCTTCCTCTACCAACATCGCCAAAACAGCCTCCACAACTAAAACTTCAAACTCTACATGCTAATTACATGATATCACTCCGAGGAAAAACAAAAAACATTTGTTCGATGCCTCCTTTTAAAGAGGAAAGTTATTATAACAATGCTTTAGTAAGCAAGCTTCACATTGATCATGCCACTAGGCACAATGAAACACAAATTGTACTCAAATAATGGTCCAATGCCTCCCTCAAAACAAATCTATTAAGTGCCTCCTATCACAAAAGTTTCAGCAACTCAACAACAAAAAGCACTCCAAGAGATTTGCTCCACCTAGCGTTCTAAACATGGGCCTATATACCTACTCCTGACATGCCCAAAGTCCACAACTTGATAGAATTTCATTTAACCATAAATTAAATCGCAAACTTGTGAATGGCAGGTACATGTTTAATCAACCTTTTCGCACATAATAATTACAAGGAAAACCCTTTTCGCACACAAATAAGGTAAGTTCATTCTCAAAAATTTCCTCACATTCAACCAGATGGTATCATGCATAAACCTTTCCTCATAAATGTAAGACCGTAAAACAGCAAACAAAGTAAAAATAATGGCAACACATGATATTTTATCTTTAAAAGCAAAATCAATAAATTTAAAAAAATAATAGAAGGAATTCACTCCTCGTGCAACTCTATGCTTACATATTTATTTTATTAACTTAAATTTTCTCTAAAGACACTCTCACTGAGAATCTCACCGCAAGTACTCCAAGCAGTCAAGACCAAAAAATAATCACGTGAAACATCCTAATTCATACTTGAACAGTTGTCAGATGCCATCAACGATGGAGAATATCTCATCAACTCAAAGGATGAACTTGCACACGTGTAACTGAAGCGGCACATTGGCTCGCCTCTTCAACCCTATTCGGATTAAGGTCTAGGATTGAAATTTTCAATAAGCATTCAAACGTGTGTATCCAAGGCTCTGCATCGCACACACTCCTTGTTCAATATACCCAAGTCGCATCCTGCTAAAATAGTAAGGGTCTTTGATACATCAATTTAAACATTGTCTCAAGGTCATTCAACCTACCATCATGATTATGCGCGGAACCCATCCTTTAGCATTATCACCTTTTCGTAAAGCCTACTTTGCATCTCAACATTCAAACCTTTTCACCTGAATCCAATTGGCGCTTGGACCATTCGTCCATGTCTCTTGGACATCCAAAAGACGCTTCTCCAAATATCGCACCTCTTCATGCATGTGAATCATATCAACCCCTCTGTGGAACCATCCTATTGAACAAATCAAGGTCCCAAACCTACCCAACTCGTCCCACCCAATCCCTTTTAGATCCATTACTAACTCGGTCAAGCTATGGGTTGAAGCGTTCTCGAAGGATACATCAGGCATGAGTAACGTCATCGATAATTCTAATAAGGATAGTGCACCTCACAGGGAGATCAATCCAATGGCCAGTTCCAATCATCCTATTTTTCATGAGGCTAACCTTCCGAGATGGTAACATCTTTCGGTGCAACAGGTGACACCTCCGCAAAGAGAACTAAGTCAAGTCCCACTGCAGTGACAGTTATATGGGATTCTCTCTAGTACAAATAGGCTATTGTGAGCCACTGCAAGGCATCCCCAAGATCCCTGATTGTGATGCGGCAATCTCAAAAAATGATGCATGTGATATAAAAGGTCTGCAGCCAATTTGCCTTTGCATTTTGCAGACAAATAGATAGAGATCAATTTTAGTCCTTTAAAAAGGCAATCCTTCTCCCTGTATTTTTGTTTTAAACGAATTTCTTTATAAAGATTTACAAGCGCAAAATCCATACAACTCATCTCTGTGATTCTATCTTACGCGTCAGAACTTCTTGTAAGCCAAGCTTCACAATTTCTCCTTACAATTAAATCATCCATCCATTGCTGCAGTACTCAAAACGAGGACAGCCCAATAATGTATAGAGGCCCGCATAAAACAAGTTGATTTGAACCATACAAGATCAAAATCTAGGAATACCGAATAAATACCATAAGCTACCCGTGTACTAATTCTCAAGTTTGTTGAAATGCTCTAAGATGTCAACATCACAACCAACCACGAAAAGAAAAGATCCCATATGATCAAAACTGTCCATTAAAAACAACTACGATGTAAACAATTGATGAAATAGCCAAATATACGTTTTCCATGAGAGGACGCCGCTCTAGCGATTGATAGAATTAACGTCCTTAAAACGCGGTAAATCCAGGTTTTATTGCAGTTATCACAGAAGAAGCAAATAATGAAGCCCTTTCAGAATTCTCTAACGCCTCCTGCAAGATATCCACTTCAAACTTTACGATAGAAGATTCCACGAGATTTACTTGTTGGGCTCTGAAACGAGCGTCATCAAAGTAATCCAATGACCCTGACGAACTCATGTACCCGGCATCACAACTGCTGTAAACCCCGCCTCACACGACCTCCTGACTGTGTAAGAAACCAATATAAAGCCAAGCGATAACATAGAATAATTCGATGAAAAGAAAAAAATAACAGGAGAAAGGAGGGAGGCGAGGTGACGGCTAAATACCGACAACAGAAACAATTCCCACGGGCAGCTTGCTCGTCGCCGGTGAAAGTTTCCCCCGCTTATACTCTGAAGGGACCAAGCGAGAAGAAAAGACTGGAGGAGAGAATTTGTGTACGGAGGGTACTCGGTTATCTCCTTACCCTTCTAACTTTCTAACTTACATGTATCTCGGAATCACGGTTCTATTTGATATATTTGTAATGTTTGAGTTTTTAAATTTATAAAACCTAACTTCATGATTCAAAATTCATAAAATTAAATGATCAAGATCTTTGAATTTATGATTTTCACATACCCAGATATATGTATATGTATTCATGATCACAAAATTTAATTTGAAGAAATAAAATTTGTCTCTCTAATCCTTATTTCTTTTTGTACTTTCCAATAGAGAGAAAATATATATTACTTCTTCTAAGGAGAGAGAGAACATTTCTCTTATAAGAGAAAATATAAGTCTTTTGGGAAGAGACACGACTTTTCTCTTAATTATTCATTATTAACCATCATTCATCTTGATGATTATTGACCAATAGGATTTATCATAATTTAATTAATTAATTAAAGCAAAAAAATACGATGTCTTTTGGGAAAAGACATGGCTCTTCATTTAGGATAATTGAATTAATTAATTAAAATGAATGGATGTGGTGTCTATTGGAAAGAGATATGATCCTCTTCTTTTTAGTTAATGAATTACTATTAAAATAAATGACAGTGGGCCACATAAATGAAAAACTAACATTCTCCCACTTGGCCCACGTAATACTTAATAGTGCATAACATACTGCATAAAAATGTAAGATAAAATCCTTCTTTATATTGGTCAAATCTTAAATTATCAATAAGTATCAAATTAAATGAATTAAGGTGGTTGTGTATCAATTTATCAACACAGTTCATTCCATGTATCACAATATCAATTGCATATTTAACATAATGAGAAATAACTTTATGGTCTCATAATGACTATTAAAAAACATATTGTTAAACATCGCACAACATAAAGTGCACACTAGCGATAAAAACAAGATACATAAATATCAGAAACAATAATAACTGAGCTCAAAGTCTCAAATATAAAGAGCATTAAACATAAAAATTAATAAAGGGTTTTAGTAATGTCTATTCTCACAACATGTTTGTTAAATGTTTGTGGCGGCAACCCTTTCGTTAATGGATCCGCAATCAAATGATTGGTGCTAATATGCTCAATTGACACCCTATGTTTCTAAACTTCTTCTTTAAAGACAATGTACTTTAATTCGATATATTTAGCACCTTTGGAATACTCATCATTTTTAGAAAAGAAAACTGCTACAGAGTTATCACATGTAAATTTTCAGTGACTTGATAATACTGTCGACAATTTCAAGCCCTAAAATAAAATTTCGTAGTCATAATTTTTGTTTTGTAGCTTTGAAACATGCCACAAATTTAGCTTCCATAGTGGATGCAACAATGATAGTTTGCTTCGCACTTTTTCATATTGAATCTCTTAAGAACTCTATCGATATATGCGTTCTGAGACAATCCTAACAATCTTTGTGACCTGTCATGAAATATTTCAATTCCAATCACATAGGATGTCTCACTCATATATTTCATTTCAAAGTTATTAAAGAAAAAATTCTTGGTTTCATACAATAAGCCAAGATTATTAATAGCCAACAAGATATCATCAACATACAAAATAAGAAATATGATCTTGCTCCCACTAACCTTCAAATATATACACCGATCAACAGTATTTTCTTTAAATCCAAAGGAAGTGTTGGTATCATTGAACTAAGATACTATTGTCGGGAAGCTTGCTTAAGTCTGTATATTGATTTCTTAAGCTTACACACCACGTGTTCATTTCCTTCAACTGAAATCCTTCAGGTTGACTCATGTAGACATCTTCATCTGAATTTCCATTCAGAAAGACAATTTTCACATCCATTTGGTGTTACTACAAATCATAATAAGCTATTAGTGCAATGATAGTTCTAAATGAATCTTTCTTAGAAATAGAAGAAAATATTTCTTTATAGTTGATGCCATCTTTCTGTGTGAAACTTTTGGCAACAACTCTGACTTTATATCATTCAATATTGTCATTCGAGTCGCGCTTAGTCTTAAAGACCCATTTACACCCGACTCTTTTACAGCCTTCAGGCAATTCAACGACATTCCAATTTTTATTGCGATCTACCGATTTCAACTCATCTCTCATTGCATCTAACCATTTAGAAAATTTTGCACTTTCTATAGCTTGTGAAAATGAAACTGGATCTTCATTTACTCCCAAGTCAAATTCAGACTCATGTAAATAAATCATATAATCATCAGAAGTAGCAGACCTTCTTTGTCATTGAGAACTTCTAATTACAACTTCATTTGGTTCATCTAATGTAGGTTCATTAGTGATAGTTTCATTATAGGGTGTTTGGGTGTTTGATCATTTATTTTGATCATTTATCTGTTGTTCCTGTAAGTTGTCAGACTGTTCAACAACTGTAGGAAAAATAACTTGAGAAGAAATTTCAAGTAAAGAAACTTAAACCTTAATTTCATGGATTTCCACTTTACGTGATTCCAAACTCCCACTAACTTCACCATTTTCAATGCATTTTCTATTTCCAGCTTCAATAATTCTCGTACTGTGGTTAGGACAATAAAATCTATACCCTTTTGATTTTTCTGGATAACCAATGAAGAAACCACTAGTTTTTCTTATGTCCAGTTTCTTTTCATGTAGATTAAAAATCTTTATTTCCGTTGGGCAACCCCAAACATGCAGGTGCCTTAAACTAGGTTTCCTTCCTGTCTACAGTTCAAAGGGAGTCGTTGGAACTACCTTAATAGGAATCCTGTTTAACAAATATGCAATAGTCTTTAAAGCATGCATCCATAATGATAAGTGTAAAGAAGAATTGTTCATCATACTTCTTACCATTTTCATTAGAGTACGGTCTCGCCTTTCTGCAACACCATTTTGTTGTAGTGTTCCTGACATAATGTTTGAGCACATATGTCATTAGTTTGAAGGAATTTAGCAAATGAACCTGGACATTGTCCAGATTCATTGTACCTTCCATAATATTCACAACATCTATCGAACCTGATGATTTCACTTTTCTATCTAATTGTCTCTCAATCTTAGTTATAAACATCTTTAAGTCATTTAGTGATTGAGATTTTTCATGCAATAAGTAGACATACTCATAACGTGAAAATTCATTGATAAAGGAGATAAAATATTTTTCTCCACCAAAAGATGGAACATCAAAAGGCCCACAAACTTCAATGTGTATAATTTCAAGGAGTTATGTGCTTCTTGTGGCAGCTTTTTTATGTGTGTGATTTCCTTTAATACAATCCACATTAATTCAATGAAAACATTAATAGTGAATTGAAAATCTCTTTTGGGTGATATAACAATACACAATAATAAACATAATTGATGCTTTAATTGTTAGTTAACATAATTGACAATTCTTTATACTTAAATTAGCATGCATATTATCTTTGGATATATAAACATATCTAACCGAGTATATAAATATGCCATAATTATATTCAAAGATTATAAAACAAAAAATCAACATTCGGGCGATCCACAAATATTTTATAATCAATGAATTTCAATATACTCATAATTAAATATAAAATTATTTTATAATAAGTATCACATACTTATGAGTAATTAAATTTATTTAATTTGACGTCTATTAAACATACTAATTTGACCACTTTAGTAACTAACAGATTAAACATAATATAGACATTAAATAAACAATAATATCTCAATTCACCGATTAACTTTAGTGATCTAATTCCAAGATCTAATTTACAGTGGAAATTTTGTGAAATTAACATAAATAAAATTAAATGAAAAATCACAAATTCAACAATCAAGTCTCTGATACCACATATTAGAATTTTAAAATTTATAAAATCTAACTTCATGACCCAAAATTCATAAAATTAAATGACCAAGATCTTTGAATTTATGACTTTCACATACCCATAAATGAGACATACATACATGTATTCATGATCGCAGAATTCAATTTGAAGAGATAAAATTTATCTCTATAATCTTTATTTCTTTCTGTACTTTCTGATAAAGAGAAAAGATGCATTACTTCTTATAGGGAGAGAGAGGACTTTTCTCTTATTTTTAAGAGAAAAGATAAGTCTCTTGGGAAGAGACACAATCTTTCTCTTAATTATCTATTATTAACCATCATCTATCATGATGATTATTGACCAATAAAATTTATGATAATTTAATTAAATAATTAAAGTGAAAGAATATCATGTCTTTTGGGAAGAGACATGACTCTTCATTTAGGATAATTGAATTAATTAATTAAAATGAAAGGATGCGGTGTCTATTGGGAAGAGACATGACCTTCTTCTTTTTAGTTAATGAATTACTATTAAAATAAATGACAGTGGGCCACATAAATGAAAAACTAACATGTAAATTACAGTTAGATTACATGAGATATAACATGGATATAACCTTCAGTAACCTCCCTGTAACCTACCTGACGCACACTGGTACGCAAATTTTTCACAGATTGGAGAGGGTCTATGAGTAGGGGTGTAAACACTCTTGTTTATTAGCGTTATTTAAGTACATATAAAGTCATTCATTGGGAGTTGTTAAGAGATTATTGTTGGTATTAACTCTAATAACATATCAAAAACCTCCTAATAACCTACCAATACATTTCGCGATTCGTCGCTTATCTTTTTTCCTGTCATTCGAGGGTTTCGTGAGATTATTGAGGGTATTAACCACAAAAATAACGACATAACCCTGCAATACCCTCCAAATAACATTCATATGCACGCAATTCTGCGTGCGTTTGACGTACATAAATATTTTTTCCGTGTTTAGGGCCGCATTTATATTTGTAGCTAAAATATTGTGTTCGTGTTTGTATACTTGATGAGTCGAACACGAGCCATTCACGAACAAAGAGTTTTTGATAATCTTAATCATGTAGCCATAAAATATTAAGGATTGGGGCAAGATTTTAAAAATATTGTTTATATTAAAACATCATTTGAATCTAATTTAATAATGTTTATTCAATTTTCTTAATTAATACTTTCAATTGATTTTAAATCTATCTAAATAAATTGATATAACTATATGAATTATAAATTTTCAATATCAATTTTGAGACTATGCAAACTATATTCTTAATAACTATATAGATCAAATAAATATTTCAATGGGACAAACATAAAAATGCCAAACATACCTCAATTTAAAGTCCAAATGGACCTAAATCAAGGATTTTATTGTGTGGTTGGAGAAATTACAATACAATTTGGAGACCAAATGATATATGAATCTCGCATGTTGAAATTCAATAAACATCATGACAAATGAAATCCAATGACGAGAAGATTACCCAATTTAGCTATTCTTAAGCCACTAAAAAATTACAATCTTAGTAACTTTAAATAATTAAGGATACCAATTTATATTATATGATTGTTTTTTTTTTTGTAAATTTCACCTAAAATGGCAAATATTTAATTGTAAAAAATTATAAACTCACCTTTTCTCATTCATGAAGGGGAATTAGTGAGAAATGGTTGTTCAATAGAGTTCCCCTCCTCTGCATGGGTGTGACATTACATGGATCTCCCTTCCTATAATTCTTTTCAGAGGCTCACCGGAAGCACTCTATCCTTCCTAAGATACACGAGATTATCACAACAATAACAAGGATGTGATTTGGCTACAAAGTTTCATGCCTGAATTGAGTAAAGAGAAAGGGATTAGAAAACTCTACAGTGATAGTATGAGAATGTTGTTTTTCATGGTAAGACAAAACACATTCAGATGAGGTATCATTACATTCGCTCTCTTCTTAAAGATGAGCAGTTATTTGTGGAGAAGATACACAACTCAGAATAATGTGGATATCTTGACAAAGGTGACGACTATTCAGAAACCAAGCTATTGTTAGCTTCAGTTAGGTTTCATGAAGATTAAAACCGAGGGTGAGCAACATCACAGTACGTGACCACGATACGTGACTATGAAGGTGATTCAGATGAAGTGCCGGTGCAAGGGGGTGAGGGACTGGTGTTGGGTGTTATCATCTCCAAGTGGGAGATTGTTAAGTGTGTGGAGCCGAAACAGCTCGTGCGGCAGAGAAGTTAGCACATATGCTCCCACTATATCAGCACGACAACAAAAAAGCCAACGCATATGCTCCCACTCATCTCGGGCATAGTCAAGTTAGCGCATAAACGCCAACCTTTGGGCAGCTAAGTGCCCCACTTAGGTGTTGTGCGACAGAAAGCTTGGCGCATATGTGCCAAGTCCAAGTGCATATGTGTCAGGGGAAGTTTGAAACGAAATTTGGTTTTAAGTCCAAATTCAAATTGTATAAGCAATATAGCATGGGGGTTTCTTCTTTTGGTATTCTTCGACGAGCTTCCCAGTAATGGTGAGAAACGTTGAACGGGTGGATTTCAGTGATTAAGGGTGATTTTTTTTTTGTCTGATTGGAGAGGGAAGATTGCAGAGCAAGTCTTGTATTTTTTTTTTTTTTTTTTTTTTTTTTTTTTGTAGAGAGGAAATTGTTGTGAGTTTGTTGTAAAAATTTTCTAAATTTCATAGTTAAATTTCTTGTGATGTTGCTCTATAATTTTTTCCCGTTCTCGAATATTTCCGTGTAAATTCTCGTGCTCTTTTTTGTTTGCTTTGACTGTGTTTCAGCTTGCAGTTTTGTTCCGATTCTTTCGAATCTTATGCAATCCCATTATTTCACGGAGTAGTTTATTTATAATGCATCCTATGCCCCGATAAATTTGTGAATTGTTCTTGAAAATTTATATTATTATTAATAAAGAAGCACTAGATAAAAATATGATAATATGTGGACAAATCCTTACGGTCACGTGAAGGACAGAATTTGGGCAATGTAATATCAAACTTGATTTGTTAATTATAATCATATTCATTAAATGTGGATTTATAATTTATGCAAAAATATTAATTTTATAATTAATATAATTCATGCAATAAATCAGGAAAGATATAATTGATAGTACATAAATTCTACCACATTCGTGATTCTTTCCATTAAAATTTAGAATAAAAAAAGTGCACGGTCATGTAGAGGGAAACTTGCTTATCCCTCCTCATTCGTTTATCTTATTTTATATTATAATCGAATATATATGCATATAACTACAATTGTCATCTTTCTGCCACTCACCTAAGCTTCCTTTAAAGAAGGCATCATATTATAAGATGGAAATTTAATTTTGGAATTTTCATTACTTTACTAATTTTGTATGTATACTAAATAAAGAGCACACTCATATTCCTCTCACATAACCAACAACATACCTTTTAAATACTAGAGCTGTAATATATAAGGAATATAAAATAATAAAAGGTCTCTTAGATTAAAACTATTAAATTTATATTTAAAAAAAACAAATAATATATAAAAAGAAATTTGAGTTAAAGCCCTTTCTCTTGAACTCAACACTTTGGGCAGGTAAGGAACAGTTTTAAATTAGACAGACTCTCCACATACAATACATATGGATGCAACTAACCATCCCTCATACCCAATCCTTCCACCAACGTACTCATTAACTCACTCAACTATTAAAAAATATATAAACTCGGACGCATGAACATAGACTTCACACTCTCATTCCCTTCTATGTATTTTCTCTTCTCAATTATTTACATAAATCTTTATATATGTTGACATAATGTCTTCTTTTTACATTTTTTTAGGAAAAAAACTATGAATATTATTTCTATAAAATATGAAAAGTATATATTTAATGGAAATAATGTACCAGCAAAAAAATAGAAAGAAAAAAAACTTCATATAACAATTAGAATTGCAGTTGATATTTTCATCGTACTTTTAAGAAATTAGATGGTATTATTACAAATAAAATTAGCTAAAGATTCATTTTATAAATAATCAATTTTTTAGTGTTTAAAAAAATTCTAAAATATAATATGTGACATACATCATATAATAATTTATGTGTATTAAACTTTTTAATAATATATTTTTGATAAAATTTTGGTGGATCTAAAATAAAAATTTCATAATAGGTGCTAAAGACATCAATGTGGTGATATTAAATGTGCACAAGCATAGTGGGGTTTGTAATTGTTTCAGAATGAAATATGCATTTCTAGTTTCAGTTGCTATTTCCTATACCTCTGAATTAATGCATCAAAACTATAAAAAGCAAAATAATGAAGTGGCAATTACATACACCACCATAAATTTGATATTTTTATCTATTTTTGAAAGTCTCACTCAAAAATCAAAATTCATGATAAAATCCCAACAAAAATTATCTATTTTTGAAAGTTTCACTCAAAAATCAAAATTCATGATAAAATCCCAACTCATATTTTTCATTTTTATTAAATTTTCAATAATTTGATAATGACATGTGTAGATATATTGGTTCTGCAGTTCAAAAAAATCTCCTAGATTATCAATGTTTAAGGAAAAATCTAGATTATCATTGTTTCCAATGATTGTATGTAATTATCCCAATAATAAAATAATTGGAACACATGCCGCATTTCTGAAAGCGCGGTAGAGTGATTTGGGTCTTATGCATTAAGAAAAATAATACATTAGGACACCGAATGTATAACAACGTTTGAATTGCAATAGTTATGAATATTTCATTTACGTTATTAAAAAAATGAAGTGTTATTCGAGTATTATATGATGTTGTTCGATTATTTTTGTGGTATTCTTAGAATATTTACCTGCTTTATTTGATTTAGGACTGAAGTGTTATTGGAATATTCTCATGCGTTATTTGATTTGGGCTGTATTATTCCACTAACATTATGTAAATTGAAATAACATGGGTAATATATCGAATAACACAACTTAAAATAAAGTAACATGAGAAAATATTCGAATTACACTACAAATTGAATAATACTATATAATACTCGAATAACACTTTATATTTTACAAATAATACAAATATTTTTCTTGTGCATTAGAGCTGTCCGGCTAATTTTAATATAAAGCCTACCCTTTTCGTAAACTCCCGTTGGAGTTGGAAACCCTTACGATGGCAAAGAACCGGAACAGGAAGAAGCTAAAGTCCTCAGCCATGGAAATCTCCATTGACACTCCGGCTGGTCGTACTCAAGGTTTCTGTTTAATCCCCTTCTTTTTTCGTAGTTAATGTCCTTTCATCTCCGTTGTTTTTTCTTGTGCAGCTATGAAAGCCTCGGAGGCTATTCCCTCAAACCCGTCCCTCGCTGTTATCAATAGGTTGGGTATCTGATCTACATGATGTGCTTTGTTGTTTCCATTCTCTGAAGAGATAGATTTTGACGAACTGCCTTTAAGTCTAAAAGATTATTAAAAATTATGAATTTGTATGCATTTATTGGTATTTGTAATGGAAAGTTAGACATTTAACTCGTATATCAATCTAATTGTGAAATTTCGCATGGAAATAAAGAGCGTGTTGAGGCGCGCGCGGTGGCGTTCGAGGGGGGCGGCTTATTTTATTCAAATCTTTTGGCTAAATGCGATTTCACTTGGCAGCTCTACCATCCAGTCATACATGGCTTGTTTCATTTCCTATTTGGTCCTATGCTTATGAACACTTCTCCGTTCATTATTATTAAGTTTTGCATGTGGTGCTTACATATCTCTTTTTCCTCGACTTCCTACATTCTTATCATCAGTCCGCCTCTTTCTAGTCCTTAATCTGTAGCTCCCAAATTTGTTGTTGTATTTTGTTTTGTGCGCCCAAACCAACTAGGTTGGCTTTTTTATTAATTTATTCTCATTAAGTCTACTCATTGAATATCTCTTACATAATCATTTCTGATTTTATAATTTATATTTTTATCGAAGATCCACCTCAGTATTCTCATTTCGTGAGCTCTCAACTTGGTTTTAGTAAGATATTTTCTTGAATATTGAATTTTCCATGCACATGTTACTTTTGATATGATTTTTGATTGTTCATATATCTTGAGCACCACAAGTTAAATATTCATGACATCACTTCTTGTGGTTTGGTCATCATCAAGCTTATGCTAATTTTTTGGGTTTAACTTTATGAATCCTCTTCTTATATTCAATTTTATTGTGTTACATGGTGTTAACTTTATTTTGTGTTTTTTATGTTCATTTTTATAGCATGATACTTCTAATTTAATAATTTTATTAGTGGTATATTTAGTGACAGTGTGGTAACTATGGGTGATCAAATCATTAAAAGGTGTGAATGTTTTAATTATTTTGGGTCTATTGTTCAATGTGATGGTGGTATAGATGTGGATGTTATCAGTAAAATTCAAATTGGTTGGTTAAAGTGGAGGAATGCATCTGGTTTATTGTGTGATAGAAAAGTATTACACTTTAAGGAAAATTTTATAAGATGGTGAAGAGATCTGCAATGCTTTCTTGCACAAAATGTTGACCTTTAAAAAAGAAGCATAAAACTAAGTTAAGTATTGCTGCGATGAGAATGCTTAGGTAGATGAGTGGCTTGACATTTAGAGATAAAATGCGAAACGAATGTATCCATCAAAGGTTTAGTTTAGCTCCAATGGTAGAAATGAGTAAGGAGAGTTGTCCTAGATGATTTGGACACATTGAACGTCAACCATCTGATGATTCAGTAAGGGGAGTAGATATTTTAGATTTAATTTCTTTTAATAAAGGTAGAGATAGACCTAAAAAAACTTTGGCATATTGTATATAAATTATCTTAATGTATATAAATTATCTTAATTTATTAGAATTAAATGAAAATATGACACTTAATAGGAACAATGGAGAAAAAGGATTCATGTGGTCGACACCACTTAGTGGGATAAAGGTTTGTGGTTGCTGTTGTTGTATTTCACTCTCATTCCTTTGCTATGCTATAAGTTCTCAAATAAAAATATAAGCTACTTCATAATTCACTTATGCACTTAGGGGATCATGGATAATTTATCCACAAAATGAGATATTACTTGCACATTTTTCTAATGCTTTTTTAATGCTAAGTTAGAGACAAGTTGTATCGAACAAAACCATCGTTAACACATTCTTTGTTTCTTTAAGATAACCTTAGTTTCTTTCCTGTTATTCATTTACTTTTGAAATTCTTTCTTTAAGTTCAACTAGGCTCATTAAAATATCTTTATCATGCGAACCAGTACTTGGCTTGCAATTTTGAATTCGCTTTATTTGGTTTCTTATTCTATTTAATATATTCATATCAACATATGTGATATTTTTGCCTTCCTTTTAATTGAGTGAGTATCATTTAACTATTTTCAAGTGTGATAAATTGTTGAGTAGAGGGGTGCATTTGGTTGATTTGATTGGATTTGTTGATATGTTTATTTAATCAATTACAACAATTTAAATAACAAACAAAACCAAATTGACTAAATAATGTATAAAATCAAACCAAAATATAAATTAGTTTATTCTTTTTGGCTTTGATTTAACTCAATTTAAAGTTCTAATGATGGGGTATGCATTTGGTAATTAGATGGATTGATTTATTTGTCAATCCAATTAATTGATGGATTTTGTTTAACTATTTTTTTTTCAAACTGAACCAATAATCATAATTCATTTAACTTTCAAATTGAAACAAAAACCGAACCGTGATTTTATAAACCAAACAAAACCAACCAAAGATGCTCGGTTCAGTTTAATTTGTTTGGTTTAAATCAATTAATGCGTACCCTTAAGTTTGAGTGAGTCCAACTTAGCTCAAACTTAATATTGTTGAATCCAATTGAACTCAAAATTATAAGAAATTATTGGAGATATTGAACCCATGACCATTATAGTTACAATAAGTATTTGCGAATATGCAACTATTATTTTATTTACATTAATTTCAAATATTTTTGAGTTAATTCGAATCCATTACAAAGTAGTAAATATAAAATTTAAGTTGATTTGAGTTAGATATTAAACCAAGTGCACCCTGATTTGATAGTTGACTTGAGTTGATTTTGATTTGACTAAAATTAGAGAAGTTTCAATAAATTTTTATGTATGCTCTCTCCAATAATACTTTATAGCCTTAGCACACATCCATCTTATATAAGTATCTTCCAATTTATAAGATCAATATATCAAAATGTATTCTTATCTTCAAAATATATTTCCTTTTTTTTTTCCATGAAAAACCTTAATTTTCGTGTTGAACTACATTTATTATGCTCAACTGTGAAAATCAAAGTTTCTTTATTCCGCGGACTGGATCTGAGATGTAGTTGGACTACGCTTCTTTGGTAATTAGTTATTTCATGTTACATATGATTTTTTTTTATTTTTTTAGGTGTCTTTTGGGCAATGCTTATTGAATCATGGTATAAGTCCTAACGTTGAAAGCATATTCATTATAATTAAAAATATTCTGTACTTCTTAAGCACCTAGGGTTGCATGAGTTTGAGTATCTTAAGATTCTCTGTTATATATTTTTTATGCCTTTTCAAAATTTAATTGGTTTGCATAGAAAGATATGCCTGTTAAAACAATTTTTAAAACAATTATCCCCTCTATTATTTCATGAGCACAAGCATTTTACGGAGGACTTAATTAGCTATATGAGTGTATTATGATTTTATTTCGTACAATATGATTATAGTGTAACACTGTGAATTAAAACATTTAACTATAAATTGGTGTCAAAAAAACGGTTTGATTGTGGTTAAGTTAAGTCAGCGCAAGCCCCTAAGCCAACCAAAAAATCCATTTTGTCATTAGTTGAGGTTAATTTTGAGCTCAACTTATATTTAATTTTGGTCTTAGTTAGACCAACAAATGGATGGGGGATAAGCTTAAGCTTAACTCTCACAATAATAAAGTAAATTGATACTGTACTATATTTCATATCCATAAAATAAACTTATTGATCAATAATTTAATAATTATAATTAAATTTTTCTTTGAAATAATTATCTTTTTACAAGCTCATTTTTTAAAATAATTATGCTCATCTTCTTAAGCAAATTAAACATATCTTTTAATGAGTAAATTTAAAGGATGTTAAATTAAGTTCCATCATTTTAAGTTTATAATCATAATTAGGTTCTGCTGCAAGTACATCAACTCATGTTTAATTAGAGCACTATGACGAGTTAAGAGAATGAGTTTAAGCCAATATATCATTTCTCCAACTAAATGACTTAATCTTGCTTATGGCTTAAGACTACGATCACTTGGTCTTGTTTATCTTGATTCACGCCCCAAACAATAGGAGTGCAACCGTTAAAAAATGCAAAATATTTGTATTTACTTTAATGTTTGAAAGTTGATTTTTTTTTTAATATTAGTTTATTTTTCTTAATAGCACTTTTATGTAGAAGCCTAGGATAAGACCCTACTTGATTTATATTTGGATCCTTATCCAACTTGTGCGAAGAGCATTACTTGTTGATTCCTCCTATTGATTTTTTTTTTATATGCAGCCATCTTGTTCTTCAACCCGAACTATCTATTAGATTTTACATATTTTTTGGCTTTTATGGGAGCTAACCAAAATAATTCCATTTTTCTATTACACGTGACGCTTCATCTGTTGTCCTTGTTGCACTTTTTTTGTGACAACTTAATTTGATTTTGATTTTTTGGGACCTTTTGAGTCTTGCAGTTTCATCTGCTTCTTACCATTTTCCTAGTTCCTTGTCTTTATTTGTGAATCCTATTTGTTTATGTTATGATATATGCAATTGATTGCTCTTAATATACTTATTTTATTGAGGGTTTCGTAAGAATCTCAGTCATCTCTTGGTTGCTGCTAGTGGAGCATCTCGTATGCGGGCTTTCGTGGCATTTTCGTAAGATGACTTTAGTAGTGTCTCATTGCTTGATGTTAGGTTGTTCCATAGGTGGGCTTTCTTTCTCTTGTAGGGCTTAAGGATCATCGACGGTGACATGTCCTCAATGTCTTTTATGGGTTCCTTGTGGTGGCTTATTTTTCCTTTTTGATCACCTTTTTGGCTTTTTCCCATTTATGATCATATTTGAGGTAGACAACATTTCCATGTTCCCTGAAACCAACACCTTTGGGCATTAATATCAAATCATGGGGTATGGATCATACTTTTTTTTTGGGGTGCCTTTAAATATGATTATAGGTTAAATCACTTCCTGTTCATTCTTCATCCTTGACTCTTAATTTGCCTTCCGATGGGTTTCTTGTGGGGTACGACGTGCTTTGGGCTTTGCAAATGTTATATTAATCCCTGTAAAGTGTTCCCTGATGTTCAGTTAGAAAGGATCATGGTCATGTCGCCTG